CCCACAGAAGGCTCAAGTGGCCAGCTTTTGGAAGGACATTAGGAAGTCCGGGATCTAGGTGGTTGGACTCAGCCCTGCATAATGTAGTGTAGACCCTGGAGCTCCAGGTTGGGACCAAGGATTCAATAATTCCTAACCTGGGGCTACAAACAAGTGTAGATGCTCAAGCCCTAGGTTAACAAACCCAGGGTCTGCTACCTTGAGTTCTACTAACCCAGGGTTTACAATGCAGTGTAGCCGTACTCGCAGAGAGTTTTGCCAGGAATTTTGGGTAAGTACCCAGAAAGCAATGCAACGAGTGCGTACAAACACAGGTCAGAACGGCCCCTGAAAAAAGGAAAGGCCTTCAAGCCACTTTGGTATTACAAATAATAATTAATGTGCTGGTGTTATTCATGTCAAAACAGCCCCCCAGTTATATCACCAGCAGTCCAGTTCTCCCTACACAGTCTAGGGGCCTGGTTCTAATCTCACATCAATGTGACTTCAGTAAATCAACTCCCCATTCTTGCTGGTGTGAGTGAGATCAGCATCGAAACCAAGGCAAGGGATTACCAGGGCTGTAAGAGGAAGGGCAGAATCATGGCAGTTGATCATGGGGTGGCGTTGTGAGGAAACTGAAATCAACCTCATAGACTGACTTTGATAAACAAGCTTCTGCTTCCATGCTATCAGCAATCATAGAATCATAGAATATCAGGGTTGGAAGAGACCTCAAGAGGTCATCTAGTCCAACCCCCTGCTCAAAGCAGGACCAATTCATAGCTGCAGCACTGCCTGGCTTGAAGTGGTTTCCATCATATACAGGCTTCAATGGCGCTCAGCACCCCCACAAATTGTTCCAGCAACCTTGTCAGCAGCCCACTGACAATCCGGTCAGGAGTGGAGTCCAGCCGTCATCCAAGATGTGATGGGAGGCTGTCAGCAGTCTGGCCAGCAATGTTTCCATTGGCCCAGATCTCTGCTCTTAACAGAAATCTCTTGTGTTAACGAGCTGTACTTCCTCCTTATAAAGAAGGGCTTTGAACATTTGTCATGTCAGAGCTACCCCTCCAGCACTGCCCGTTAGCTAACAACAGCTGTCTCTGTGCTCGGTGAGAAAAGATGACGTTTTTAACAATCAAAATGCGACAGCTCCACCCATGTTAATGCTCTAGCACTGTTTGCACTGCAGTAGCTGATGGGAAGTTTCTGTTTCCATGTTAATCCTCTCCTTACGGGAGCTGGGTGTCAGCTGTCAAATTTTTGTTGTGCTGTGACTGCAGCCAGGGGCCATCAGTATCGTCCCCATTGCATCTTTCTCATCCCCTGTCAAAGTCATTGTGCCACTGCTTTTCCCTTGCATTGACGGCAGTGTGGGCCAGTAGTTAAGGACCTGGCTTTTGGGGAACTCGGGTTCTAATCCTGGCTCTGCTACTAAATCGCTATGTGACCTGGGGCAAGTCATTTCACCCCTCGGCCCTTCTACTTCCTTTCTCCCATCTTTTATTGGTCTTCTCTGTTTCGACTGCAAACCCATTGGGGCAGGCACTCAATTCACAGATTCCTTGGCTGAAAGGGGACATTGTGATCCTCTCCTCTGACCTCCTGTCTAACACAGGCCAGAGACCTGCCCCACAATAATTGCTTGGGCAGAGCTTTTAGGAAAACATCCAGGCTTGATTTAAAAATGGCCTCTGACGGAGAATCTACCATGATCCTTGGTAAAGTGTTTCAAAGGTTAATTCCTCTCACTGATAAAAAGTTACGTCTTATCTGCAGACTGAATTTGTCTGGCTTCACATTCCAGCCATTGGCTCGTGTTCTGCCTTCTCAGCCAGATAGACGAGCCCATTGGTAAAAAGGATCTGACTCTGGCCTCTAGGTTCCCATTCAAATCAAGCAGACATGACCAAAAGTCTGGCAGGCTGTCTGCTCGCTGGAGTCTCCAGCATGTCTAGCCATGGCTCCGAGATCCCTGAGATACTAAATGGGGACAAATGCACTAGATAAGTAGCTGCAAGTGGAACAAGAACTCGGATATTTCCAGCTGTGCTTTATTAGTAAAAAACAGAAGCCTGCGTGTACCCACTAGGCAGGTTTGCTCAAAAGTTTCCCACCGTTGCTACCATCAGTTCATTTCTACAGGTGTAAGCGCCAGCGGAAGGATTCATTCAGAGATTTGAAGGGACAGTTGTGATATGCTTGTCCAATGTCCTGTATAACACAAGCCATAGGACTTCCCTGAATTATTTGCTGCTTCAAGTCCAGTAGCGGTGGATGAACTAGAGCGGATTCTGCAGGCACACAACCCATCTGGATTGAAAGGGTTCTGGCTTAAAGGTTTTTCCAGTGGTTAATTACCCATAGTGTTAAAAACGTAAGCTGCATTGCTTGTCTGAATTTGTCTAGCTTCAACTCCCAGCCAGCTCCAAGCCAGACTCAGCCCCAGCTAATCAAATGTAGAACTCAGATGCTCGCTGATCGATTTGTTATCCCTGCCTTACAGATGGGGAAACTGAGGCGCCCGGTAGATAAAATCACTTGCCTAACATCATGCAGCTAGTGTGTGGCAGCGCTGAGCAGGGCACGTGCGTCTCCTGAGTCCCAGTGCCTTGCCCCTTAGGCCATCCTAGCAGCACTAGGAAGGCAGGGCCTGAGGGCGCTCGCTACCTGCCGAGGAGCTATGTTTCAGTGCGTCTTCCGTTCTCTTGTAGCATTCTGTGCTTGAATCAGGCAAGATGACGACAAACCTAGACGCTGAGCACAATGAGTCCTTAATTCAGCATGTCCTCTCCCCCGCCTCCCCAGGAGACCCTGTTCACCAGCAGGAGTTTAGCAACAACAACAAAAAATACCATTGAGCTTTACGCGTGCCTGTGGGGCCAACCATCTGTCCTTTCCCACTGAAACCTTTTGTGCCGATAAAAGTAAAATCAGCTTTGATTGTACACTTCACTCCGTCCCCCCTTTCAGCACGCGCAGCTGCGAGTGGTTTTAGGCTGCAATATATAACGAAGCCGCCTCTCCCCCCGCCCCCACTTGTATTCTGTGAGGGGCCCACCGCTCTGCGCAATGATGGAAGTTGCAGACTGCTGCAGCAGCCTGGGTGTCTCACTCTCCTGCCCAGCTACCAAACACGTTCTTCCCCGTGAGATCCCCTGTCTCAAAACATGGCTGTGTCCGCTCTTCACAAGGTACCAGGGGCCTACCCTCCCGTGGGCCTGGTATTTAAGGAGACCGGCTGCCACAGCACAATTGGTGCCACTGTCAGTTCTGAGCTTGCCAATGGTACCTCTTCAGCTGGCGTGATGGAAACACCAAGTTTCCAGTCTTCCCTGTGGCCAATTCCGATGTAGTGGAAAAGTGTGTCCCTAAATGACGTAGCCCGGTGGCTCTCAAACCCTGGGACGGGAGCAGGTGGAACCTTGTTTTAATGAGGTCGCCAGAGCTGGCATTAGACTTGCTAGGGGGCTGAAGCCAAATGGCCGAGCCCGGCTGCCCAGGACCGAAGCCAAAGTCTGACGGCTTCAGCCCTGGGATGCGGGGCTCAGATTACAGCCTCTGCCCGCCTAGGGTTAAAGCCCTCACACTTCGGCTTTGCCCCTCCAGCCCGGGCGGAGCAGCTCTGTCTTGGTCCCCTTTCCCGGGGTCACGTAGTAATTTTTGTTGTCAGAAGGGGGGATCGTGGTGCAATGACGTTTGAGAACCCCTGTATGACACCGTGCCTGCCTGGCGACTGCTTGACATCACTGAGGGGATCTCGGCGGGTATAGAGGCTATGCGTAGGCAGTGTATGGGGGGAACCTGTCTTGCTGCTAAAAGAAACTGGCACCGGGCTGAGTAATAGTGGCAACTCATTTGTTCAGATACGTAGCCAAGTCTGCACCCAGCCAGGCCCTGGCTTATAGAGCACCAGGTAAAAGGCCGCACTGCCTGCCAAGCTCCATGGCATTATTCAAAGGCAGGGGAGCCCGTTTAAAAAAAAAACCCAGCTCAGCTCCCCGTCTCCCCATCCCTCCCCTCCGCCCCCCAACATCTGCTGCCCTTCCTGTTGTTGTTTGGTAGTTAATGAGGATTAACATCTTTCCATCGCTGGGCTCTAGACTAAGATTTCAGACCCTGCCTTCACAGCTTGAACGGGAATAGGCTTTTCGTTCCAAGCCCGTGGCCATGATGGACATGTGGTCTCAAGCAACCGCTAGGGAAATTCCTGCAGATGCTTGAGTGGTCTGTGTTCCTAAAACCCCTTTGCTTCTCCTTAACCAGAAATCCCCTTGGCACTCCCATGCAGTCTACTAAAATCATTGCTGATACATGCTACGGCTGAAGAGAGAGACTCTCACACACACACACACACACACTCTCTCTCTCTCTGGATTTTTATAGCATGTTAGCAGGGGGTCTCAGAAAGCAAAAGGTTGCGAACCCCTGACTTAAGCTATTCTTCCCTGTCCTAAATGGTGCAGGAACCTTGTGTGCTTTTAAACCAAAGGTGGAGCTGGTTCGGGGGTAGGGGGGACGACCATGATTTGCCTGAGTCTCTATTAACATTCCAAGGCTGCACAAATGTTTTCAGTTAATAGTCGTAGAGTTTAAGGCCAGACGGGACCGTGACACGAGCTAGGTGACCCCCTGGCTAACGTAGACCCCACATTTATACCCTGTTCCCGTCGCATTGAGTCCAGGAACTTGGGTTAGCATCTCTTCGGCGCAATGGTCTCACGGCCCTGCGCCCCTCCTAGTCAGGCTCACCCGGCTCTGTCCTTGATAGGGCCACTAGGTGCTACTGTAATGTACATAGTAAAACACCAGCCTTCTTGCCAACCTCAGCAGACCTGTTCCAGACAGCTGCTCGGGCTAGTGCTTGATGAGCCTGCTTCTCCGTCCCAAACAATGGCACCCACAGCCCAAAACTGACCACCATGGTCAGCTCTCACACAATGAGCCCGGCCAGCGCAGGGGAGGCGTGTCAGACTGGCCACGCTCATGGGATCAGAGGTGAAATAAAGAGCGACGGATCAGGAAAATGCATGTGTGCTTTATTCATGTACATGTTTGAATACTGATGCTTATAGAAGTTTAGTTAAGTACAGAGTATATCCCCGGAGTATACGCTAACATCAGCCATTCGACCCCCCGCCCCCGCGAGCGTGCACACACAGTCACTTAGCATCACCTGCCATCACTTGTTTTATTGCAGAGATTATTCCTTCCCGCAGAAATGGCTTCCTCACCGGTAGCGTTGTTGGTTTGGCGATTGAATTCCCAAACCGCTCCGGCAATGGCCCATCAGAAAAAACAGCTCAGCGATGCCACAGAATTTTGCTTTATTAAAAAGTACGTAGCTTTGTGCTTATGAAAGTCTGTGGGGTACGGATTGGGCTGTCTCAGCCCCTTTCCAGTGCAAGCAGATACGCCAAGGGCCCTGGTTAGTGGAGCGGATTGAAAAATGTAATCATTTTTGATGTTTTACATTTTTGCCAACATTTTGGCCCTTGGCAAAAAGGGAACCCCCCCTCCCCCAAACAAAGGTGATTATATTTTCTCATTGGGTATAAGAACTGATTAAAAAAGAAATTGCAAATGTTGATAAAAAAATTCATTACAAATTTCAAGTTCAAATGCTGATGGGGAAAAAAGGGATGAAATGTTCATATAAAAATGTCATCCCATTTTGTGGAGGGGGAGGGAAGAGATATGGAGGGTGTGTGTGTGTGTGAGAGAGAGAGAAAGTTGGCTTGAACTCTTGTGTTAACCCTTCCACACATATCTTCTCCACCTCGCCATTGCTTAGCATCAACAAGCTTTGAATTTTTAAATTGAGTGGCAAACCCCCAGTCCTATAGGTGTAGGAAACCTACTGGGCTCCCGGCCAGATCTCTGCTGACTCCGTCCAGCATGGCCAACAAAATACACAACAGTTTGTTCATTTCATCCAGGCATCAAATGGCATCCACGTCCATTGCAGTTCTGTGACCCCTTTTGTAGGCTAACCCCGCCCATACTTGCCAGTGTTTGGAATCCATAAAACATGGGGCTTTCGCGCGGGGAAGAAAATTAGGGTGACACTTTTGCCGCCATTGAAATGTGTTGGCTTTGCCGCGCTTGCAAGGGTGGCATGGGGAAAACAATAACTATTTGGCTTACAAGAACTAGGGCCGGTTTCCTGAAGACCAACCACCGTGTCTGAGGTGTGAAACGTGACCGCTTGCTTTTCAAGCCCTGGTTTTGAAGGAACAATTGAGCACAGTCTTCTGGAGGCTGAGAACCCAGGCGCTGTCTGGCCAGCCGACCCTCTGCCGCTCAAAAAAGGGTGGCGTTAAGCAGGAGTACGCAAGACAGCTGATGCCAGTTCCTTCAGCCAATTTATACCAGCTGAGCCACTCCCCCCTTAATTATAGCTAATTCCACCCTGCCGAGCGTGTGATGACTAAAATTCTCCACACCGACGTTAAGGGAAGGCTGGAATGACTTTTCCTACTGCTGGCTGCAGGGGAAAAAAAACAAAACCCTCATTCACTTAGAACACACGTAGCTCAGGAAATGGGAACTCGGCACTTCAAAAGCCCCAGGGACGTGAACTGGACAGTGGGGTAAGTTCCCAGAAGGCGGCCATTTTAATGACCCTTCTAACCAGTAACGGGGCGTGATTCCGTGGCTCAGCACAAGAAGGTTGGCATGGCAGTTCAGGATACTGCGGCCAGAACGGCAGGAAATTTCCACAGCTATTTAAAGGTAAGGAGTGTAGCACATCAAGGACTCTTTATGAGGTAGCGTCCTGGTACACAGGTAAGCTCCTTGTCTAGCTGTCATTGGGTCAGCGTTCAAATCCTGCCTCTGCTGTGGTCATGATTTGCATAGCACAGCTGTTAGTCGTGTGATTTAACGCATTATTAAAAGGCTCGCCCAGGCATAGTGTGCTACCAGGATCTACATAGGCTAGGCTAGTGCCTGCTAACCCCATCCCACTAAAAACACAACTGAAAAATGTACCATGAGCTGTGGCCATTGTCTGCTGTTCTCCGTAGCTCTCCTCTTCCCAGCTGGCTGCATGACACCAAGCTGAGGATAGGTCTGGGTCCAGCTTTGTTGTTTCACATTTAAACCTGGTGTCCCTGCCCATAAGCCCTGATTTTATGAAGATCTCTGGGACAGCTGAGACCTCTGTCAAACCAGGCCAGTGAGGTGTTAGTGTGCTAAGGTGCACCACTGGAGCCCGGCTTTGGTCACTGCAACCCGGGTGGGGGGAACATAACAGGGCTTTGGTTAAACTAGGCCCAGAACTCCAGAGTGAGTATTAATTGGTCATATTTCACGCTGGACTAAGAGCCTGGGAATGTTTCTCTTCCGTTGCAATTTTCCTTTAAAATGTAAGCAATCGAGCTAAGAAATCAACTTCTGAGGGGACTGGGAGAGGAGGGCAACGGACTGCAGCCAAACCCCTATCCTGGGCCTTGTGCTTGCAGCGCTCCATTGGGTGGTGCTCGTGCTCCCTACCTGCCACTGCTGGGCCCTGTCAAAATCCTTCCAACAAATCCACGTGGCAGGAGACTGTTGCTGGTGGCGCTGGAGACGTGTGACCTAGGGAATGTGCTTCTGGAACCCAGCGGCCCAAAGTGCAGGAGGCCCTCAAGAAAGGCACCTCCGTGGGGCAGCCAGGCTGAGTATTTAATGAGAGGGCAATTCACCAACCTCTCTATGGGCCTGATCCAGCACAGAGACCCCTCAGCTCGGCCACTGATATCAACAGGAGTTAGGGGCTCACTCACCACCCTCAGGATCATACGCTCTAGCTCAACAGAAAGGCAGGGGTGGCTCAGACCCATGGGCCATCTAGCCCAGCAGCCCAGCCCCTGATGCACCGACAGAAGATGGTGCACTAAATCCAGCAAGCAGCAAGTATAGAGAACGCTTCTTCCCAGATCCCATTATTTAGAGGTTGACTTAGTGTCTGAAGCATGAGGGCATGAGCCAACCTAACAAGGGCAACTCTTGTTAACTATTTAACCATGTGAAGCAGAGCAAGCCATGCCTTGCTACATTTAGTGCCTGGATCATTTCATACGGCGGCTGGGTTTTGGAGTATCCCCCAGTGGTCATTTGTGTGGGTGAGTTGGTTGGTTGCTAGGTCTCCGCTGAACCTTTCCCAGGCCATCTTTCATTTCTGTGACTAGAGAGATACCAAGTAAACCACTGAACGTCATTTGTGTCACTAAGGGTGTCTACACTGCAGTAAAACACTCACACCTGGCCTATATTCGCTGGCTCAGGCTGCAGGGCTATAAAATTGTAGTGTAGACATCAGGGCGCATGCGGTCCCAGAGCCCGGACATCTACACAGCAATTGTATAACCCCAACGGCCTGATCCCGCTGACCGGGGGGAGGGATAGCTCAGTGGTTTGAGCATTGGCCTGCTAAACCCAGGGTTGTAAGTTCCCCCCTTGAGGGGGCTATTTAGGGAATGGGTAAAAATCTGTCTGGGGAGTGGTCCTGCTTTGAGCAGGGAGTTGGACTATATGACCTCCTGAGATCCCTTCCAACCCTGATATTCTATGATTCCTACCCGGGCCAGCTGCAGGTGTTCTGATGCAGTGTAGACACAACCTTTAAGACCAAACAACTCGCCTGTCATATGTGAACATGAGTCAAGGGACACGAACATCAGTTCTTGCCTGGAGGCTTACACATATCAAGCGATTATAAAAAGACTAGCGTTGCGTGAGACAATATATCCTACTCTCACCTCACACTTGGATATGACAAAAACTACCCCAAAGACTGGACAGGGCCAGTTTAGAATGTTCCGGGCTCAGAAGGGGATGCCACCATGAATTGCCAACGCTGGCAAAAAAAATGGAAAGTGACACACGTGTTTCTTCCTGAAGACCAGTAACGCATGAAGACGGTTTTCTACAGGAGAGGGGAAAAGGGTCAGCGTTCGGCTGGGAGTTACACGCCAGTGACACAGGATGCTGTCAGACATGTCGAAAAACCAGCTAGGTCAGGGATGGCAACGGCCCTGGCTCTGCGCTACCCCGCAGAGATGCCTAGTGTCTTCCTTGGTGGGCAAAGGCCACACCTTGCTGACAAAGTGGATGATGGCTTTAGTCTGAGCCAGGGATGGGGTTCTGTTGGTCCTGCCGCAGCTCGGGTCACGGTGTAGAAAGTTGCATGGCCTATCGTGAGACCCACCATGTCCCCGTAGGCCAGCGTTTCACGAAACCCTCCCGACAGCTCATCTGTCAGGAGTCTTTCCTCGGTCGGCTGTCTCAGGAGAGCTCAGGGCCTCTGACTCTCTGGTTTCTTGTGCTGGGCTCTATGAAGGGACCCGTCTGTGGGTCTGCAACGCCATGGATACGCTACAGGGCGCTGGAGACGAGAAGCGAGCCAAGAGCGGGAAGGGTGACCAGGAGCGAGCTGGTGAGACGCCTTCGATTTTACAAAATAAAATATGTTGACTGGGGGGGTGGAGAGGGAGCAGGGCAATTTCCACATACAGCCCCGCCCCCAACGAGTGCTTTTTTTTAAAAAAAGAAAGAGACACGCATCGAGTCCCCGCCTGCTGCGTGCTCGCTCCGTTTCACATCGCAAGCAGGAGTGGCGCAGCGAGAGCCATGGAAACCCACATCAGCAGCCACCCCGCAGCGCGGGAGGCGGACGCCAAGCCAGAGGTTTCGGATGCCAGTTGGGTGGAGCCCCTTAGGAGCGGCTCCTCTCCAGATCCCTGCAAAGAGAACAGAAACAATGCTGAGGGTCAACCCCATGTTCATCCTCCCACGCCTGTAAAAGATAGGAGCCGAAGGCATCACATGACATTTAACTGTGTTGTGGGTGAAATTGTGCGTGGTGGGGATGGGTGTGAGGGCCAGGCGGATGGAGGCCTGTTATGAAGCATTGGCCTGACTTCTGGTCTCAAACCAGCACTGTTGAAGGCGATAGTTACACTGTGGTGAGGGTGGAAGTGGCTCTCATCAGCTTCTAAGGGAGGCCTTTCAGAATCGGAGCTCAGGACTACCATTAACAGGGCAAGCGGTGGAGCAGAATGGCCTGACCGTGACTTCACTTTGGGCTGAGGCCAGATAACACAGGACCAAAGGACTGGAGGCTCCTGGGTCATCCAGTCCAGTCTCCTGCTCTCAGAGGCAATCCTCTCACGCCATCCCATTCCTAAACTTACCATGCCCCAGCTTCAAACTAGATGGGTTGTTTGCTCCCATGCCCGCTCCTACTGGAGGCTGTTCCGGAGTCTCACTCATTCGCTGGTTAGAAACCTTCTTCTAATTGCCGGCCTCTGTGTATTCCTGGCCAGTTGATCTATTTGTTCTAGAGCCAACACTGCCCTTTAGTTGAAGTTGTTCTTTCCCCTCCCCTGTGTTTACCCCTCATATGTATTTATAGAGACCAACCAGATCCCCTCTCAGCCTTTGCTTTGATAGACTATAAACAATCCCAGTTCTTTTAGGCTCCTCTCATACGATGGGATCTCCAGTCCCCGATCACCCTAGTCGTGCCTCTTGATACCTGGCCCGTTTGAATTCATCTTTCTTGAACATGGCGCCCAGAACTGTACCCAGATAAAGTCTTACCAGTGCCTCGGACAATGGAATTAATCCTTCCCTGTCTCTGCTGGAAATACTAGACTCAATGACCTTCCGAGGTCCCTTCCAGTTCTATGAGATAGGTATATCTCCATCTATTATTAAAAAATTAGGGATAGCTCAGTGGTTTGAGCATTGGCCTGCTAAACCCAGTGTTGTGAGTTCAGTCCTTGAGGGGGGCATTTAGGGAACCGGGGTTAAAAAAAAAAAACTGTCTGGGAATTTGTCCTGCTTTGAGCAGGGGTTGGACTAGATGATCTCCTGAGGTCCCTTCCAACCCGGATATTCTATAACAGAGCCCCCCCTGCTCAGTTACTGTCAGCAGATGCATCCATAGTACAGAGTGAACTCAATGATCTAAGGTCCAGTTCCCTCCCTGGTGGTGGGCAGAAGAGTGAGCACATGGTGAAACTGCAGGGTTTGCTGGAAGGTTTCCTCTCCCCCCCTGGTGCTGTATGCAAGTGTGTGTGGTGCCCTTGTAACCCACACACCTGCTGGGTGTGGTGCTCTGTCCCATCTAGTGGCACCGAGACCACTTAGAGAGAGAAATTAATGAGTCTTCTCTACAGCCTTGGCTGAAAGCATATGGCTTTTAGCTCATGCGGTAGAGGCTTATGCACTAAGCTCCGGAGGTCCCAGGTTGGATCCTACCTGCCGACAACCAAGGTCTGTTGGTATAACACCCAGACTTTTGGGGCACATCCTATGGTTCACAGTCCCTCAGGCTCTCTCAGTACAGCTCACACCACGCCTCTGAGCAGAGCCACCTCTCCATGTATTAAGGGGGGGGGGGGGCTGGAGACTTTTTTTGCTACTTCTGTGTAATCAGCTTAGTGTTTCCTGTTCCCAGGAGAATGAACGCCGCAGGGCAAGCCCAGCATTAAGCAGAGACGCGGAAGTGGAACAAAGCATGCCAGTTGAGGACGTTATGGACGCTGGCTCTGCAAAATAGTCACGACACTCTCAGAGGACAAATACTTTTTGTGCTTGGTCTACTCTTAAAAGTTATATTGGCAGAGCTCCCAATCAGGGGTGTGTGAAAACAAAACAATGTCCCCAGTGACATAGCAATGCCAGAAAACCCCCCGGGGCGGCTACAGCTACGCCAGTGGAAGAGAATGTCTTTCGCTGTAACTAATGTCATTGGGGGAGGTGGTGTCCCTACACAGGCCAAAAAGGCCTTCTTGTTAGCATGTGCTGTGAATCATAGAATCATAGAATAGAATCATAGAATATCAGGGTTGGAAGGGACCTCAGGAGGTCATCTAGTCCAACCCCCTGCTCAAAGCAGGACCTAATCCCAACTAAATCATCCCAGCCAGGGCTTTGTCAATCTCCAAGGAAGGAGATTCCACCACCTCCCTAGGTAACCCATTCCAGTGCTTCACCACTCTCCGAGTGAAATAGTGTTTCCTAATATCCAACTAGACCTCCCCCACTGCAACTTGAGACCATTGCTCCTTGTTCTGTCATCTGCCACCACTGAGAACAGCCGAGCTCTTTGGAACCCCCCTTTAGGTAGTTGAAAGCAGCTATCAAATCCCCCCTCATTCTTCTCTTCTGCAGAATAAATAATCCCAGTTCCCTCAGCCTTACCTCATAAGTCATGTGCTCCAGACCCCTAATCATTTTTGTTGTCCTCCGCTGGACTCTCTCCAATTTTTCCACATCCTTCGTGTAGTGTGGGGCCCAAAACTGGACACAGTATTCCAGATGAGGCCTCACCAAGGTCGAATAAAGGGGAACGATCACGTTCCTCGATCTGCTGGCAATGCCCCTACTTATACAGCCCAAAATGCCGTTAGCCTTCTTGACAACAAAAGCACACTGTTGACTTATATCCAGCTTCTCGTCCACTGTGACCCCTAGGTCCTTTTCTGCAGAACTGCTACCTAGCCATTCGGTCCCTAATCTGTAGCAGTGCATGGAATTCTTCCGTCCTAAGTGCAGGACTCTGCACTTGTCCTTGTTGAACCTCATCAGGTTTTTTTTGGCCCAATCCTCTAATTTGTCTAGGTCCCTCTGTATCCGATCCCTACCCTCTAGTGTATCTACCACGCCTCCTAGTTTAGTGTCATCTGCAAACTTGCTGAGAGTGCAGTCCACACCATCCTCCAGATCATTAATAAAGATATTAAACAAAACCGGCCCCAGGACCGACGCTTGGGGCACTCCGCTTGAAACCGGCTGCCAACTAGACATGGAGCCATTGACCACTACCCGTTGAGCCTGACGATCCAGCCAGCTTTCTATCCACCTTACAGTCCATTCATCCAGCCCATACTTCTTTAACTTGGCGGCAAGAATAACTTGGCGGCAAGAAT